GTAGGTCTCATTCAGCAAGTCACAAAAATAGCAGCGTATACGTCTTACACAAACTGAAATGACTCGAGATTCTCATTAAATAATGTGAAATAATTAACAGTCAAAGTGGTCTGATGAATTTTCCCAACAGAAAATACCTAGACTCATTATAGATATTAATAAATCATAAAACGCTCTTCAGCAGCACCCACGATGCATTAGGTTCGTGTTGAAGATTAGTGTATAAACGATTTATTAGACACTTCATTAATAATGTTATGACGTTCACATTCCATTAGCAAAATGTCCCATTGGGATATTTATATGAAATGATTAAGTTTAGATACTGCTCTAGTAGACCGCTCTATACACAATTTTATAGTGTCGACTTCGACTTATTTGTCTCATAACTAGTGTTTAGGAGGCTGGTCTGGGTCTTTTAAAAACAAGTATTGACGCGAATGTGCCTTTTCAATCTTCAAGAAATTGAATTTTTAAACTTGTAACTTTTAAAAAGTATGCAAATATCGAATTAACTTTGTACCTGACTCTAAGAGTCGAACACAGGACCTCAGTCAAATATACCAACAACGAGACCACGTGGCAGTCATATTTATGATTTTTGTTAATTATCTTAATCTAAATTTTTAAAAGAAAGATCTATTTAGTCTATGACGTAGTTTGTTACCAGTTTTATTTTCCTCAACATTGGAATCTCAAGTTTCCAGAACAGTGGTATGCAGCTAAGTTTTATAGAAAATATTTATGCAACATACATGTAAAATAAAACCAATATACGATTACGCGTTAAGTAATTACTTCCGGCGGAAATGATTACGTAACACGGCGCAGTTACATTAATAACATTATATGTGTTATTTTTATAATCGTGAAACACTGAATTGAATTATACAGTAATAGATCTATGAGTATATAGTCTGCTTAAGATTTATTAAAACTTGAACTTGTAACTCGAAAAAGGTTCTCTATGTCCAGGGGAACAATTTTGGCTTTTAAGACTAAAATTCAAAATTATAATATACGCCTTGTAAGACGATGGTTCGTGACTAGTAATTTCGAAATACCAACTATTTATTGTTAAGATTTTCCAGACGCTGATTTTAACATGTTCAGGAAGATACTGTGCTAGAACTAGTGGAAATTAAACCCGGGTTTGCCATCAATAAGCACGTTAGCTGTAACTGCTAAAATTCACCAATTTGATTTGATATTGTCTAAAATGCAAAAAGGTAGGTCTTGGCAGAATCCGCTACTTAGAAATATACATATGCATGATCAGGTGCTAGAATTGGGTCGGATACAAATAGACAGCGACAGGTGTTTCACTATGAATTACTAGAATTTCATTTTTCCATCTCTCATTAACGGACTCATTAATTTCTTTGAACTTGAATTAGCGTGGGCTTTTCTTGAAAGCTTTTAGTGATGTTTTGATTATACTTGTAAATGTAATCGATATTGTTGATTCAGGTTATGATAAGTGGTTCTTATGATAACACATCGCAATAGTTCCGAATTTACCCAAGTCACCACAGATAATAAAGATCTTAAAACCTTCATTTTTTTTGTTAACTGCCAGTTACGACAATTCACAGATACAAAATAAATGTGATGGGGAGATTGTGAATAATTATGAAGTCTATATATTCCCATATTTCTTCAATAATGATTCACCAGGTCTGGAACGTGTTGGTAACTTAATTACGTATTCCTTTAAAATGCAAAAGTCCGTAACCTACATCAACTATTACCCTGTAAAATATGTTTCAGGTCTTGTGACTCACAGATGAGATGCCCAGATAGCAGTTGAATGAAGACCAAATTAGAATGCACAAAATCTTTACAACCGATGCGCTGGCGCAGGTGATTCACATTTGTGCGACGCGAGGTGCGCCGTAGATATTGTCGTATTTTATTATTGTAATATATCCTATTAGGTACTTGGTTTTGGTATAAATAAAAAAAAATGTTCTACAAATTATATATAATTGTTTTGTTACATTAAATATTTTTTTAGCGGTTTGAAACGATAATGTAAGCACTTAACCTTTCTGGTTAATAAATAACTAGTTATACTCTGTCTCATTTTCTGTCAATGTGTTTTTTAGAAGTAATCTTTGATATGTTATTTTTAGTTGCCTTGCTCGACTCTTTATATTGTTATGTGTATTTCCTTGTACAGCCCTACACGACAATTATTATTATTTCTTGGCATTATGAATATCAATTAAGAGCATTTGGCATAGCTATCCTGTTTTGAATGAAGACGAATTTAGAATATGCACATAATTGTGATATACAGAGGCAGGTGATTCAGGAACACAACCCACACATGGAATAGTAAACAGTACAGATATAATTGCCTAGCATATAAGGGATAGAACAATGTCGTCGTATGGCAGAATAATATTATATGGTATGATTTTGCAAACGGACTTTTGATGTTACTGAATGGTGACTTACAGCATTTTGAATTTTATTTATTATAATTGTAATTATGCAGCTAAGGAAATTGTTGACCTGGTTAATAGCGCTTAACTCAGAAACTATTGATCAGAATCGAATTAATATTGTAATGTGATTCCACTAAATTTAGACAAAAAGAAATAAATAATATTGTTTAGCTTCTGTTGCATTACATTATAACTTAGTTTGAAAAGAATGGTTTAAAAGTCTTAATTTTTTGTCTTTAGATTATACGATTTTTTTAACCGGCTTACCATTTCTTAATGTGTTATGCGCGAATAACAACCGCCGTCGCGAGTTATGAGACGCTATTGTTTTCCAGAAGGACAGGTCTTTAAATATATTCACTTAATGCAGTCCTTTGTTTTTTGCTCCACAGTCCACACTTACATCGACTAATTCAATACTTCATATAGGATTCCTTTTTCTTCGTAGCCTTAATACCTGTCTGAAGAATTCAAGATCTAGATATCAATTTAACTGTTTCCAAGGAATCTGGTTTTAAAATGTGGTTGTTGTTTGGTTTTTTAAGGTTTTATGGAGTGTTTTCTCTATGCCTTTAGAAACATAAAAAATACGAAGACAATTTTATCCAGACTCAAAGCTGGAATGTAATTTTATTTATTATTTTTTAATATAAAGGGAGGAACTATTTTAAATTAATAAATAAATAGACAGTACACTATTTAAGTATGTACTATATAGATCCAGTATATAGTTTGTGCGCAAACTGTGGCAAATAAAATGATAGACTTTGACGTGGTTAGACAACAAACCTATATATTTAACTCCAAACCCTCCCCAAGGAACTTTAATTTTCTACCGCAAATGCTCCGAAGCAAAACAATATATTTAAATAAAACACTTTTGCGGTTTAAAACCGATTATTACTTAAACTTATTTGAAAATTATTTTTAACTTCGTCGGTATGTTCGGTATGTATTGCAGCAGCCGTGGTCACGGGAGACAGCTTCGGCTGCTGCAAAGCATACGTTTTCAAATAAATTTCACTGATATATCGCGTTTTAAACCGTTAAAGTGTTTTATTTAAATGTGTACTACTCGCGTATACTATAGACATATATTTAAAACAATATATGTCTAATTATATATATGTATGTTTCGCAAAAAACAACTTCATATTTATTTTAGTTTGCGTCTATTGATAGCGCGTTAGTCAGTGTGTACGAGTATTAATCACATCATCCGGAAAACTCCGCTGTATTTGTATTTTAGCCAAGATTCGAACGTTTCCGTCCTGATGTTAAGCTCTTTTTAGACTAGTTTGCCTTGTTTAAGGCTAGGCCAACGGTGCCCCATTGGGGGCTTTGGCATCGACTTGGACGACCGCAATGCAGCTTAAAGAACAGGGTAGATGTTCTGATGATAAGTAGGGATGGAGGCCGAAGCGAGTCTAGTCGAGCGGCGTTAGAGGGGGGATTGAGGTATAAGTTCGTGCAGTTCATTCGCGCATTCATTTTTCTCCGATCCGAGATTTGAACCTAGAACGTTGTGATTTACAGTTGACTGTATATGACCTGGTTACAAAAAACGTAAGTGTTGTGGCCGTGGATGTTCGGAAGAATGCGCTATAATTAATGCGATTATATTATGCCATAGTCTAACGAGAGCCTTATTTCAGAATACGCGCCGCCAAATAGCTATCTGCATGATCGTAATTCAGTCTATTTTGCTCACGGCTCAGCTGTGTGGGTTTTGAGGACTTTATACTGTCCTATTGTCCACGTGTATCTGTATATTATGTATATATAAGACGTTATTTCTTGTATGTAGACTATAAGATAATTGCAGTAACGCACGATTAATACCAATAGATTGATTAGAAATGTTTTATTATTGCCTGTAGTTTACACGAGTAGTGAATATTTAAATCAAACACTTTTGACGGTTTAAAACGCGAAACTTGTTTTACAGCACTGGGGAACTAAAGATGGTGGACCCCTACGTGACCACGGCTGCTGCGTAGCATCGGAAACGTCTTATCGGTAATTTTTTTTTAAATTATGTTGCGTTTTACCCGTTTTGTTTCAATTAAATAAAAAGGTATATTTTACAAGGTTTATCTTTGGTATTTCCTAATTATAATATAAGCACTATTTGTTATTTATATAGTAATACTGAAATTACAATAACACGTGCAGTTAACAACACTCAAAATCCCAATTTGTTACAAGGATAATAAAATCAATAATATTGTAAGCAGTAAATAAATAATATTATTTCCTACTTGTCGTCTTTATAAAATAATTGTAGTTATACGCCTAATGCATTAGAGATTTCGAATTAGGTTTTTTTGACGATAAGATTACGTTATCGAAATGCAAGAATTGCGATCAAAGTACAATCAGTTATTGGCTATAATTTGTATAATAATGAAAAATTATTTTTGTGTTGGTTAGAGCATTTATCGAAATAGGCACACAAAAGTACAAAAGGAGAACTTATTAATCTTGGATGGCTTTCAAAAATTACTGAGGCGATATGAGAAGCTACATTGAAAATTTAGTACTCACAGTTCCAATACGACACACATGTACTTCCCCCAGTCGTAAGCATCATACAACTGGATCAGGCGTGGATGCCGCAGCCTCCGCATGACATCAACTTCTCGTTCCACATTTCGTCTTTCATCACGTCTACTCACGGAGACCAGCTTAGCAGCGAGTTCCAATCCTGTACTCTTTTCGCGACATAGGTATACTGTGCCGAATTTTCCTCTGAAATTGTATAAAGTGATTTATCTCTTCGTTTTTTAGGATAAAAAAAATACAGATAAGCATGGGTATCTCGAAATGAATATCATTATAAGTATCTACTTCTCTACAAGTCGGTTATTTTGTGAAACAAAATATGTTTTAATAACGTAGATCTAATACAAAAACACACACACTCATATAGTCTAATAAGAAATTAATAGTTTTACTTTGGCTTACTCTTAAAGTAATTTAAAGGTCATTTGCCAAATGTCATAAGACAAATATCTTATTACCGGTTTCAAAACCTAAAATAGATCTCTGATATTAGATTTTGTGATGACTTTGTATATTTATGTATGTGTTTGACGGGTTAATAATCAACGGGCCGTGGTTTCGATCACCACCCAGCAATTTTGCAACAGCTATAATTCTTTAAAAATCGAAAATAAATTAAAAAATTTTCATTTTTAAATTATATAGTGCCTTCATGTAATAAATTAAAAATATAATTTAGTATATTCTTCTAAAACCTATTGGACTGCATCTGACAATATGGATATTTAATGGGTCGTAGGAATATCGAAACTCCGTCCGAGTCACAAACCAGCGTCCACAGATGAAAAAGCCTAGAAATTTAATTGCGTTTTGGTCTGTGGATACCGAAAGCCAGGCCAGCTAGACAAGACATCTTGTAAGATATTGGCCGGTGCACTTCACCTTCAATCAAGTCAGCTACTCTGTCTTTCTCTATCATTAAAAAATATAAACCACTGAGCACAAGAAAAATGGTTTGAAAAACTCACCGTCCTATCTCCGACAGCATATCATAGTAATCGTTGACATCTGTGTTTCTTTTTATCGTGACGTCCCGGTATGGAAATGGCGGCTCTATTTCTGTAAACAAAACAAATATTTTGTATTACCTGCGTAATGTTCAGTTAAAAGTGAATAAACTTTTCCTGGTTGGGACTTGCGTTTACTGATTTCTTTAGATGAGAGCCAAATGATATGCAATGTGTCCGTATAACGGATCGACTTTATTTATGGACCATTGAATGTCTAACTAATGTGTCCTATGTTGATTCAATACAAATAATAATCTCTCACACTTAACTAACTGAGTAAAATAGGAAGTTATAGCCAATAAAAAATATGAATTTTAATACTGTCTATAGTTTACGCGAGTAGTACACATTTAAATAAAACACTGACGGTTTAATACGCGATATATATAAGCGTCCGAAATGTCGGGCCATCGTTAAAATAATTATCACACAAGTTTAACTAATAAATATCGCGTTTAAAACCGTTAAGGTGTTTTATTTAAATATTAATTTAACTTAAAATTCCCGAATTCCGGAAACTTATGTAATGTAATAAGTGGATGTACTATTATTAGATGTATTAGGAATCGTTTTTTCCTCAAAGAAATGATGCAAAACTAAACTTATAAGGTCAATTACATTTGAGGACGAATGAATTTATCCTATACCAATTAATCAATATTGATAAGGAATGTGTGGTATGTTAATAGATTGATTGGCCTTGCGAAATCTCACATGATACATAGTTCAATCAATATAATAGCCATATATCATATTGTTTACACGCTGTCTTGATGTTATGATAAAGAAAACATTGAAATATAATAGTCATGATCATTCTTATTTCTAAAAATATACGTTTATTTATTTTAGTTTAGTAAATTATAATCGGGCGGAATTCGAATGAATAACACACAGTGCTGTCTAATCGAGCTACTGTGCCATACATTTAGTTTGTTCTGTAATAAACTTGAAACACGAATAAATTTGTAAATTGCTATGATAATTAACATCATTTATACTAAATACTGCCTATAGTTTACGCGAGTAGTACACATTTAAATAAAACACTTTAACGGTTTAAAACGCGATATATTAGTTAAACTTATTTGAAAATGATTTTTAATTTCGGCCCGACGTTTCGGATGCTTTGCAGCAGGCCGTGCACCCGTACACGGGAGTTAGACCGTTAAAGTGTTTTAAATCATTTATACTGTCCATGTTTTTGCTATTTTTAAACACTTAACAACGAAAACAACTTAGAAACTAGTAAGTATATCTAATGATTCAAATGTTTATGTGAAATCTAAGTCTTTTTTTCTACCATTAAAAAACTAACATGAACAGGAAGACCTATATAGTAAGAAAATCGAGAAATGGCTTCAAAAATGCAGGCTACACTGGACTCGAGTGACCAGTGACGGGGCTAGATGGAAGTTCTTGCAAGCATCTTTTCAGGGATAAGATATTATTCGGTAAAGTTTAGTGCAACTCAGTTGAACCATAGTTTCTTGATATGAAAGTTAGGTAAACGAAGCGTTGATCTGTATCAGTGTAAAAGATATCGCTTCTAAGAATTTCACCAGGGCGCCAGATGAAAGTATGCGATAGGTGATATTTCGAAACCAGATAAAGTGACGTTTTCCTACGAACTTCTACGTGCACCTTTCACGTGAATTGACATTTAACAGTTAATTACGCATTTAGCGAGTTGTACGAGTAAAAAACGAGTTTTAGAAAGTGCTAATTTGTAAAACTCGTCAGGTGTAATCATGAGAAATGTATCGGATTACAAATTCTCATAGTTTAGAAGTAATTAACGATTAGTGGTTGCTATAATAGGCTGTGGTGTGTTATAAACTCCCTAGGTTGATAACAGTGCAGCGTCGTAATTACCAAAGTCAAAGTAAAAAAATTATTTGCTTATGTAGGTAACTAGGTACACCTGTGAATTCTAAAACTAGAGAATCTAACTTTACATTTACTACCAGGTCCCAAATCAAGGGCGTAGAACGAGCGAGCAGAACTGGCAAGAAACTCGCTGCCACTTCTTTTATTGACGAGTTACTTGTTAGAACGGGTTATGTCGTTAAAATTCGAATTTGAGACGTGTACTGTCTACTGATCAATAAGATCTAATACTTTAGTACATTAGCAGTAAAGTAAGTGGTGTCATCCAGTTGTCAAACTTAGACCCAGACTGTGGTGGTTCCAAGATTTGGTCACGTTCGCTTAAACATCTAGTTCCTTTAAAAGGCTAGAAATTCTTTATAAACCTTTAGGAATAAATGCTCAACCACTATTTTCTTTTTTCTGTAAACCGCTTGATTAAGATGTAATAACTCAATAGCCACGCATACCAGATAACTGTATAAGGAATAATTGCTCTAGAGTTCAATAGATATTTTATATCTACGAATTAGTTTCAAAGTATTTAATTGGAATGTACGAGTTGGATAAAGTAATTCGAATGTGTTTTATAAAATTTTCCTAGGATAGTGGTACCTGGGACTTAACGCGTGACATCTAAGTTACGTAACGATTTAATATTTCAATTTAAAATGTACACGCAGTTACCTGTACTAGTTTACGCGAGTAGTACACATTTAAATAAAACACTTTAACGGTTTAAAACGCGATATATTAGTTAAACTTATTTGAAAATTATTTTTAACTTCGGCCCGACGTTTCGGATGCTTTGCAGCAGCCGTGGTCACGGGGAGACTAAAGATGGAGGATGTATCTGACGTCAAAGTAAAGAATTGCTACGCTAGCGCCATCTGTTCCGTCGAAGTTGGTATTCGGCCAGTTTCGCCAAATAAGTTTAACTAATATATCGCGTTTTAAACCGTTAAAGTGTTTTATTTAAATAATATGAGATATGCAAAAACGCCATTTTACGCCATTCTTAAAATGGCGGCCGGCTTGTTAAAACTATACATCAAAACCTTGTTTATGAAGCTCCATATTTTGGAGCTTCATAAATGGACTTAAAATTAGCCACCCAATAATGTATGCAACGGAAAATTCATACCGCAAGCGTTCTGATGGTATCGCTGAAAAATAAACAAAACCATTTGATTTTTGGCAGAAGCACGGAATCCACGTTATTTTCGACTCGCACGGTCGCGGTGGCCCGTTGTTATGAGCGATGACATTTGACTGTTGATCATTCGTCTTGCTCTAACGTGCTGCTTGCTGATTGAAAATTACCGTTTCTCATTTGACAAAGTAGGTCTAAATTTAACAACATTTGAGCAAAATAATATCGGGAATAATATGTTTTAGATTCATAAAATAGCTCTAGGAGATATTTGCAAATGTCGTAAAAATGGAGGATAGATTTTTGTATCATTTTTATATCTCATCGAGTTATTTATATTAGGGTCACTTGAGAAAATAACTATAAGCAACATATTGCTTTATCTAGTTGTAGTGTGAAATTCAATTTTAAATATTGTATGGCAATGACATCTTTCTCTGTCCTGAACCAGGGTTCAAACCCAGGATTTCTTGCAGTTGATCGATTTAATTATCGAGCCACGTTTTTTTTTTATTTTGTGCCCGCTCGGCATGACGATTTAATAATGTTCCTTCTTTTATAAAGAACTGTACATAAATCTTTACCAGCTCAGCATGTTATTAAATCAAATTTAAAAGATATAATTACTAAAAATACAATTCACCGGCTCCTTGGCTCTTTCCCAGCACTTTACAAATAATTTAACAATTTTATATTTTAATATCGTGTCACATCCGCGTACAAAGACGAAAGGTGCTGTGATTATTTGTATGGTTCATGTTAAAAACATATAGTCTTCTATGACGCACTCAGTCTTACAGCGAAAATAAAAGCGATTTACAATCGTTATATGACACAATTATTTTAAATTAAGCTTAACACGCTGGATTTTATTTTACATCAACTGTTTCGGACGAAGAAATTAGAATAAGCAAGGTCTTTCGTCTAGTACATCAATGTAAAATTTGTTGGAATATAGATTTTACAGGGGCTAAATTAACATGTGACAGATTTTTTTGTACTACTAATAGACTACCGTTTATTTATTATACAAATATCTTGTATTTTATTTGCCCATGCGCAGATGACTGAAGAATTATCAACGAAAGATGATAATTATGTTGATATTTACGTTATATTTTATTCGTGTTTGAAACCGGGAAATACATAATATTATAGAAATAGAATATAAGTGTTCCTTCCTACTTCATTTATTTTTATTTTGTTAGTCTAAAGGTCATTGAACCAGTCACCCTTCACACTATAAATTATGAAAGTTACATGTGTTACAGCCTGTAGGCGCCAGCACAGACTAAACAATCAGAAAGGTTACAGAACATTGCACTCACACACATAATTGAATTTGTGCCAACGCGCCTGTAGTCTGCACCATTGTGTCAATGTTCAAAGAGGGGGGCAATTCTCGAAATGTGATATTAATAATTATTTGGAAAGTCAGTAATAGTACATTTCTCGCAGGAGTAGTATTTGTAGGAAGTGTAGAGATATAAGAGATAAGAAAGAAAATATTTAGACTGTTCTAATTTTCATTAGATTAGAACGTGGAATTAAAAATGTTTGTTTCGATAGATAGCAAAAGCTAAAAGCCGACTTTGTTATCTAGATATATATATATATATATCTTATATCTTTGTCTGGGCTTCAAATTATCTAATCAAAAAAACGTATTCTACATTTATTTTAGCTACGGTCCCACGTTTAGGTAGTTGTGATTATTTCGCGTTCTAGACCGTTTAAATGTATTCGATTTAAATGTATACTACTCGCGTAAACTACAGACAATACTTGAATATAATTTAAATCGGGAAAATTGGTTTTAAGCTTCTTAATTTAATTTAATCGTAATGTAAATAATATATAATTAAAATAAAATAAAAATGTTTCTTACCTCCAACTGGATCTGTTTCATCTACGTGGATCATCTCGCACGATCTGAAAAAAATAGGTTGGTTATTAAAGGTGTTTTTTTTATGCTATAAGTGGACAGACAAGCTGGGGTTACTTAATGGAATACAGGTGTTTTATGGCTGGGGTAGCCATAAAACACCTGTACAAGAAACTCGGTCTATTTTGGCTTTGGATATTCAAAAATCTACAGGCTGAAACCGACACGTCTTTAAACTTCACGACTTTTCAACTGTGTACTGGGATTCGTGACCCCGAATTTCGATATAGCGCCCATTTAATATTCAGATTTTAGAAAAAATATTAATAAGAATACATATTAACGTTGTCTCATATAAACAACAATGCATGGCTACCATTAGACCAGCTATCACGTCCAGCCTCGGTGTTGTATATGACGTAAATAGGAAGACATTCTTATCATTTAAATAAAACACTTTACTTTAGCAGCCGTGGCGTCCCCCCGTGACCACGGCTGCTGTAAAGCATCCGGAACATCGAGGCGTAGTTAAAAATAATTTTCAAACACGTTTAACTAAAATATATCGCGTTTTAAACAGTTGAAGTGTTTTATTTTAATGTGTACTACTCGCGTAAACTACAGACAGTATTTCATTCTTATTATATTATTATTTCTACTAATAAGTCTATTATCATTACGAATTCTTAGAAATTGAAATTTGGTAACAAGACGATTCAATCATGCCCACTAAATACAGAGTTGAATATACGACACTGTTCCGATGATCTTGGCCTATATTTTAATTCCAGAAAGGTTTATGTTTGCAGCCGTTATTATTGGAATTAGTCAAACCTACTAATGCCAGACCAAACAAGAGATAATCCTGCCAAAAAATACTCAAGGTTGTGTTTATTTAAATGTTAGCGTAACAAACATTGTACGTTATTATATGCCCGGATTCAGGTCATCTATTTTCACTGACACTCGTTTATTAAGACTTCAGACGTTACTCGAATTAAACTAAAAAATTAAATACTATAATACTGAAGCTTTAAGAGAGAACTTTGGTTTCAGTACAGTCCGTAGGTACTTAACTCCTATTTAGTAATTATTCTTGTAATACGACTGGGGTTCCTTTGATAGTTGGTGAAACGTCCCAGCCATACGCGATAGCAGATCTTGTCGATGAGATGCGCTGTCGATGTTTTGGTTTTGGATATTCAGTATTATATTGTTGCTATGCCTGGTGCATTAATAGATTTTTGGTATGCTAGATCGCATCATATTATATTTTCTCGGGATTCAAAACTTCGAACTCTGTCTAAAGAACGCTTGAAATTGTAAAGATATTCCAAAAGTAATAATATAATGTCATATTAAAATAAATTACAACATATGAATCGTAAATAAAACCGTGCTAACGCAAATGATGTATTACGAAATAAACGTTTTGTTTCTAAACGAAACGATGGTTGTTCCGGCTTTTTACGATTAGTAAAAAAGAAACATTCCAAAGAAACGGAGCAAGGTCGAACAATATTATGTCGTTACGTGTGAATATGTCGATTTTGTAATGTGATTGAGGAGTTTTTATTGCGAAATTATAATACATATTAATTATAGGTATTGTTTTATGAACTTTAATATCGGATCTACCTTAATCATAGTCCTTTTCCATGTACTTACATTATTTATCTATATTTATGCTTATATTTTGAAGTTTTATTGAATATGTCAAGATATCAGTTACGAAAAGTTTTACGTTAAAATGTTCTTGATTTTATTTGAAAAGCCTTTAGTGACTGTAAATTTTAGTTCTTTAACTAAAACAATCAATTTTAATTAATCGGTTTAAGATACATAAAATAAATGAACGAATTTTGCCTCTTATATGATCAAAAAAATGTCCGCGACACTATATGTCTATCTTTTAAGACTAACTTGCAAGAACGGACGAACTCGCTGGCACAACTTATATTATATACTGAAAGTACAGGTCGTTTCACCCATTAAGCACCGGACCGCTAAAGAATGTAAGTACCAAGAGACACACGTCCTCAATACCGAGCCGGATTCACCACAACCGGAGCGCTTATCCAGTTTACAATTCCAGTAAATCACATTTGTTCAGTCTGATTTATTCTCCTCAATGTCTTATCACGAGACCATAAACACGTCCACATTTGAGAGAAATTCTGGTGAGATAACTTGACGATGTGCAAAGTGGAAATTGGTGCAACGGAGACATTTTACGTTGGAGACACACGTACACTAAATGTACCTACATAGCTAGATTTAAAAACTACTTAAAAAAAGAGAAACTCGACATTTTATGCAGAAGTTATTTGTTACTGTTTTACCACTGAAAGCTAGATCGAACTTGATAGATTTTCTGTAGAAACAGCTAACGCTGTAGAAAACCTGATAGACAGAGACATCATTACATATTCCGGTTTACTGGGACTTTTTATGATAGAGGATAGACAAACATGGAAATCACTTGATTGTAGTTGAAATACCCATGCCATATATATCTTCTAAACAAGATGCGCTGTCAACCAAACAAAGCAAAAATTTAAATAAAACACTTTAACGGTTTAAAACGCGATATATTAGTTAAACTTATTTGAAATTGATTTTTAACATCGGCCCGACCGCGACGTTTCGGATGCTTTGCAGCAGCCGTGGTCACGGGCCCGTGCAACACATAACACATCAAACATTACAAGCCAGTTAAAAATAAGACTTGAAGTATATTAGATGTAATATCATAAGTCGCAGTTAGTGAATCTATCAGGTATAGCAGCGAAAAGTGCGTCTATAGAAGTTAATCCCGGTTTTGCAGCAAGTCGAATTTGGTAATATCAAAACGGCTTGGACAGAGCACGGGCTTTCACGAGTCAAGGTGAGATTCTTGGCGTGGGCGTGTGATTGTTGACTGATAGCCAAATAAATTGTCTGTTATATTCTCGCGCTGTCGCCGTCTTGGCAAACTTCCGGTTCATTTTACTAATTAGACAACAAGATGATAGACACGCTTTTATTAGTTGGCTTGTAAGGATGTTATAAACTCCGTAGTACTTACTTAAAATTAAGTTTAAATGTATTTATTGAACAATATTTGCTGTCATAGGTTTACCAAATAGTTAGAAATTGATAATTTAAAGAAGTCTGTACACTGCGACGTCATCTACAGAACCAACTAATAAATAATAAAGATTATTTGCGGATAAAACTTTTATACACTTTTAGACATAAAGCTCTTATCAAATTTAAGAGTTGCCTAAACACTGTAATTCAAATTTTGTTTGTTTAAGCAAAGCTAATGAACACATGAGATAAAATAAAACATTATACTCTGGTCCTACTCACGTAAGACACTTGAAGGTGAAAAGCATATCTACTTTAATGATAAAACAATTATTAAATACTGTCTATAGTTTACACGAGTAGTACACATTTAAATAAAACACTTTAACGGTTTAAAACGCGATATTTTCAAATAAGTTTAATTAATATATCGCGTTTTAAACCGTTAAAGTGTTTTATTTAAAACAATTATTCTTCAAACTTATATTAACTTTTCCTAGTATCTCGTGTTCATTTACTAAGCTTAAAATTAAATGAAACACTAAAGGTTTCCAATGCGAAATATATTAGTTGAATTTATTTAGAAAATTATTTTAATGCCTTGCATCAGCAGAAATATCTAGTATATATTTCGCGTTTTAAACCGTTAAAGTGTGAAACCTTAATATTTTTCCTATGTTATTATTGCACACGATAACACTATATAAATTAAAAATTCGATATTCAATTGGTTAGAGAAACAGCACGGAACGCTGTGGATGCCGGTTCGAGTCCTACCCGAGTCATAAATTGTTTCAATTTATAATCGACTGTTAAAGTGTTTTATTTACCTTTGTTGAAAAAGCTTCACAAGTAACATGAACTATAGGTTGAATACTTATATCTCCCTTCATAGGATATGCATACACGTAATGAATATCTGTCGGTTTTAAAGGAAACAGCCGTTATTCTATCACAGTTATTGAAGATGCATCTATATTCAGAAGGCACGCCACGTCAGTATGTACGTCATTGCTGATTGTGTACGCCATAAGAGGCACGATCAGGACGTGGCTCGTGGAATAATTTTAGAGATACACGAGAAATCAATTCTGTAGGTACCCATTAGTATAGATTCCTAGTTAACGAAAACGTGCATACGCCACGTGTTAAGGGGGGGGGGGGGAATAGGAGGGCATAATGGTGTAAGATGTAAAATACTGTCAGTAGTTTATGCGAGTAGTACACATTTAAAAAGACACTTTAACGTTTGAAACGCGATATATTAAACAATATTATACATATATAGCTATTATAGCTATATATAGATATTTGATGGTTCCTGTGATGTATTTTATATATAAATGGAACCTAATAATGTAGTGTGTGTGTGTGAAATCACGTATCCCTTTGTCAGGCATGGGGCAAACACGGTTTTTATTTACAGGGAAGTAGTTGAGCAGAGTCTGTACCCTGCCCGACCGAAACAATTTATTGGTTCCCCGGGATTCGAACCCAGGACCTCTCACGACGCAATGCTAGGCAGCACGTTTAACCATTTAGCTACAGAGGCGGTAACAGTGTAGGAGTTGTGTAAATTATTTTAATGATTCATTATCCTGTGTTCGTTATTTTTGTAGTGAAAGTTAAAAAAAATATGTATATTTGCATGCAATTTTCTCTTTAATGTTGTTAAACAATTGGGATAACCGTTTTCAAATGCGTTATGTTGTCAAATAAAAATAATAATTTGGTTTATAACCAAGCTAATGAACACATGTGCAATGAGCAAGTTCAGAAAGAATAATTCATTAAAAATATCTATAAAATTGCCATTTTCTAAAAAGATTTCACACACACTCCAATTCTATTTTTACCCATTTGCTAATGTAAAATGTACAATCTAGATGACAGATTCTTATCTATTTTGTGACTAATTATAATTATTGTTGGCGCATTATCAGTAAACCAAGATTGTTTAGTTAATAACTTGGTG